TAAACAATTTTTTTCCCCTCGAATTATAGTAGTTATAAAAATAACCTTCTTTTATGCAGATAAATAATCTAAAGAAATTTTATTATGATGATGATATACCATGATGACAATGTATTTGATTCAAACATCGGATCCTGAAAAAATTGCCGGACCCAATTCAATCACAGGATATATAAACAGACTTATCAGAGAATTTGGATCGAGAGAAATTTCTATAGGATTTTATGCTCGATAGACTATCACCTTAATACACTAATCATCTAAATTTAACTATAATTTATTCAGATAAGCGAATTTCAGAGCTAATTCTCTAATTTTGCTTGTGACAAAAATAGTTTGGAGGTTTATAAATTGGTGAAATCCATGCAGGAGGTTAAATTATGATTTCGGCATCATACGCCGGATGACAGCATAGCTATCTAGTATCCGGCAAAAACAAAAAAAGAAAAAAAATGAGAGTGCAATGTTGTTTATTGGACCAAAGCTATGACACTTATTTGAATGTGATAGATAAAACAAATAACAATAATTATATAGTTAATTTTTTTTGTTTGATAATTTTGTGTGACTAAATTAAATCATAGTATATTCAATTTAATGGTGAAGACAGTATAGTACAAGCTCTGCAGAAACCATCAGATGTGTTAATGGCAAGTGTGCCAGATACATTCATGGACCTGTGACTTTGTGAGGGCCCAAAATCCAGATACAATTTATAATGGGTCAATCAAATTATTTTAAAAAAAGCCAAGCCTGCAGAAAAATCTGAGAGATGCATGTTCCCAAATATGTCCATCTGCTTTGTTTCTTTATAAATTGTGTTAGCCGTTAGGAGTGATGACAATATCAATCTATATGGAGAGCAGATCGTCTGTCCCATAGTTTCTCTGTCTTATTCTGTCAAGGGAAAAAAACACCTCAGTCGTTTCTTTTTTTTTTTTTTTGGTACTCTCTTTTGCTTTTGTGTGCACAACTTTTACCATACTAATGTTCAGACTTCGAAACGTAATCCTACGACATAAGAAAAAGAAGAAAGAAGAAATAGATGCTTGCAATCATCCAATACACAAACCTTAAAACTGAAAATAACCAATAAACCAACGTTTTCTACCCTAGACAGGATAAGACAGAGAAGCAACGGATAGACGATCTGCTCTCATCAATTCAATATGCATGTCGTCCTTCAAGAATCACTAGCTAATTTACTCCGTTCGTCCCAAAAATAGGAGTTGCGTTTATTGTATTAAAATAATTAATTGACGAAACTTTTTTAGATGACGAGAGTTCATATTTGTTTGAGAAGATATATTAAAATGTAGACTACAAGAAAACATATCTAAGATAATCACCTTACAATATTGGCGTTACCAGTTGTAAATATTCGAACAGAACAATAATACTCCCTCTCCATTGTGCGATTTGGAATTTTTGTTTCTTTTTACAAGTTGATTAGAAAACCCATTTGGGCTTGAGCATCCAGCAACTCTTGGAAGTCCATTTATAGTGAGCCCATCACTAATATATACCACAAGGCTTAATAAAAAAAAAAGGAAAAGGAAAAGAAAATTACGTACCACAAAAGTTCCTTTCTTCTTTTTTTTTTTTTGAATAGAAAAACTAATGAAACCATTAACTTCATAAACTAATTCTTTATGAGATGCTGTATGAGATGAAGAAAAGATAGTGACAAAAATTAATTAAGCGATATGAGACTCATTAGACAGCAATTTTTTGGAGAGCCACACTCATAAAAGAGCAAAACTGTTTTTTTTTTTTTTTTTTTTAACAAATATAACACGCATGAAAAGACAAATTCTTAATAAGATTGCAACGAATCACCTCAATTAGTTACTACATCATTGATTATTTTATTTGATGAAATCCATATTTAGATGCTTCCTCTCACTTTCATAATAGTAGTAAGAAAAAGTTAGAAGAGTGATTCTACTAAAATTGAAATAAAAGAACCAAGGTTGTTATTAAACTTATCACGAGACAAATAAATAGTACAAAAATTAAAACTCAATGTGGACTATTTTTGTGGGACGAAGGGAGTATTATTATTAGACCAAAAAAGAAAAACAAAAAAAAGTGTGTCCTAAGACGCATAGCCTAATATGGTATTTGCTCATAAAATCTCTTAAAATCCCCTCTAATATCATTTCGAACACAGAAATTACTTTTATGTCACGAGTAAGACAATACTTTTTTTAGACAAGAAGACCTAAGTATGTACAAGCATGCCTTAAGCTGTTAATTTCCAATTGACTCGGAATCCAATATTCTTGAAATTCAAGTGACAAGTTTTTATTACAAAACAATTTTTCTACCTCAAGAAATTACCGCACTCCATCCGTAATGAACGGTCATGCACAATTTAACCTTGTCATTCCAAATGTAACGAAATTTATATTCCAGCCCATAACAGAAGTTGAGTTAAAAAATTAACAAAAATTCACAGGGTAAAAAAAAAAAAAAAGAAGAAGAAAAGGAAGCAAAAATGGCGGAAGGGAAGCATGTTATGATACTAGGGATTGATGACAGCGAGCATAGCTATTATGCTTTGGAATGGACTCTCACCCATTTCTTTACACCAGTTTCGAGTTCCCTTTTCAAGCTCATTGTTGTTCATGCCAGATATCCTCCTACTTCCGTCATCGGACTCGCCGGACCCGGTAAAATTTTAAATTTTACTTTTTAACTGTTGCTTATGCTATCGGTGTCACTAAAGAGATGAAGTTAGTCTATACTCAATTTGATTCATCTGAAAAGACCAAATGAATAAGGTGAAAAGGGAATTTATAGGCTTGTGTGTATGGCATTCTGTTTTTGACTTATATCTTGGTAATGTAAGAACTAAGCATTATTTGATTATGTAAAGTCGGTTGTATAAATCATATGTCGTCTTATTATTTCATAGTTCTGAAATGATTCAAAAGAATAATCATATATTGCACGGGGCATCATGATCCAAGTTTTGTTACTTTTTCTTTCATGTTGCTTGATCCAACCTATTCTTCTTTCCTGAATTAATTACGATAAAATTATAGAAGAAAAATGTCCTTTTTGATTCTGATTAAAAGGTCAGCATGTGAAATGCTTGAAGGATCTAGCGATGTAATACCACTAGTGGAGGTAGACCTGAAGAAAACAGCTGATAAAGTTATCCAAAAAGCTAAAGACCTCTGCAAAGACAAAGTGGTACGTGGGAGGAAAAGAATGCAACTTTTTTCCATGATTCCATCACAAAATTATGCCCAATCAAAACGTTTGTAAATATTTTCAGAATTTTAAATATGAAAAGTGAAAATCGAGTTCATGCATCAAAATGTTCAGGTGGACGATGGGAAAAATTGTCATTCCTACCTAAAGATTTGCCCTCGTTATCAATCATACCCAATAGATTTTCGCTTAGTCAATTTTATCTTAATATTTAAAATTTTCGCTAATTTCGTCCAATCGGCCCATTTTCTGTCCAAATTAACGGATCTTCGTTATTTTTTAATAAAATAATAAATTTAATTACAAAAATACCCCAGTAATTTTTAAAAATTTTAAAAATAACCCCTAAAATATATAAAAATAACAAAACAGTCTCTTTTCACTTTTTTATTTTATTTTTTTCTATTTTGTTCCATTTCTCTCAACTACTTTTAATGACCATAAAAATCTATTATATGACTTTTAAAAAAATATTTATTTATTTTCAAACTCTACCGTAAAAATTAATCTTAGTACAGTTGTAACCCATGATTGTATTTATATAAGCATGTTAATTTTTTTAATAATATATAGTTTAGCAATAAAGACACTATTTTTCTGATTTATTTTATTCTACCTAACATAAAGATTAAAAATATTTAAATGAAACTAATATTCCACATAAAAATAAAATATTAGCTCAAATAAAAAAAATATTAATATATTTTAGTGTATTACAATTCAACTAAAGAGACTATAACTTGCATTAATATAATTCATAAAGAAAATAAAGTATAAAATAATTAAGACACTATTTTTCTGATTTATGTTATTCTTCCTAAAATAAAGATTAAAAACATTTAAATGAAACTAATATTCCACATCAAAATAAAATATTAGCTCAAATAAAAAAAATTAATATATTTTAGTGTATTACAATTCAACTAAAGAGACTATAACTTGCATTAATATAATTCATAAAAAAATAAATAAAATATAAAATAATTAAGACACTATTTTTCTGATTTATTTTATTCCTCCTAACATAAAGATTAAAAACATTTAAATGAAACTAATATTTCACATAAAAATAAAATATTAGCTCTAATAAAAAAAATATTAATATATTTTAGTGTATTACAATTTAACTCAAGAGACTATAACTTGCATTAATATAATTCATAAAAAATAACTAAAATACTTTTATGGTCATTAAAAGTAGTTGAGAAAAATAGAACAAAATAGAGAAAAATGAAATAAAAAAGTGAAAAGGGACTATTTTGTTTTTTGATATATTTTAGGAGTTAGTTTTAAAATTTTTACAAACTACTGGGGTGTTTTTGTGTTTAAATTTATTATTTTATTAAAAAATTAACGGAGATCCGTTAATTTGGACGGAAAATGGGCCGATTGGATGAAATTGGCGAAAATTTTAAACATTAGGGTACAATTGACTAATCGAAAATCTATTAGATATAATTGACGACAAGGGCAAAGTTTTGGATAAGACGACATTTTTTCCGAGGACGATGCACAATTTGAAGTCATTGAAGGAGATGCCCGGGTGGTCATGTGTGAAGCTGCTGACAAGTACCATGCTTCTCCTCTTGGTCCTTGGTAGCCATGGATATGGTAGTTTCAAGAGGTAAATATTTGATATAACCCAGGAGGTTTAAAGAACTCTAATAAACTCGCTTAGATATAAAAAGATATATTGAAAATGTTATCAAATTCGGTTTATATATTGAAAATGTTACCGAATTCAGTTTCTATTTTGGCAGGGGTGTTCTCGGCAGCGTTAGTGACCATTGTTCTCACCACGCTCACTGCTCTGTGATGATTATGAAGAAACCAAAAACACAACACTAAATCCAGAGTTAATATTAAATGCCCAAAAGAAACGCCCGAAACACATATTGCTTCATCAGGCATCTGTTGCTTGGAATATTCTGTGGCATCATATGTTGGTCAGATCCACAATTAATATTAAACCTTTAATATTCGCTCTATTGTTTATTTATTCTGTATGACAAAATCCTGGACAATTCCGTGGCCGTGGGTCAACAGATCTTCACAACTTCAAGTTTCCTAGCATACCACTTGAGTAAATGGATTGGAAAAGGTAAAAACATAACACAAAGTCATGCAATGGGGTCTTCTTGTAGGAAATTTATGGCATAAATCATAGGATCCGGGGACAATAATTCAGTAGCAAAGCCTGAAAATCTCAACAAGTACCAAGTACAAGGATCAAAAATGCAGTAACAAGAACTAAAACTACAGCAAACAACATAATCTCTTAAAAAGACTAGAAGGAAAGGGTCTTGGCTTTTCCTAGCACTTGACTTCCTTCAGACCAACGCCAAAATACAAGAAAGTTGGATCAGTGGCTCCTTCCTTGTAGTAAGCAAATACCAAGGAGCTGTCATCTCCCATGCTCTCCCCAACAAAGCTGCAAAGAAACAAAACCTAACATCAGTTTCCCATACAAGACTGGCATTCAGGCTCTCATAATTGTGACTTCGTAATGATAAGTGACTCAATGATGGACTTACAATTGGAGGTCACTGAGCTTGGAGAGCAAGAATTTGGTTGCAGCCTCAATGTTCTTCTTAAAGAGCTCTTGATTCTCTTCATCCAACTTGGGTGTCAACAACTTGATGTACTTCTTGATGTATGCCACAAACTGCTTCTTGTCGAATGCGGGTTGCTCCTGCATGGATTTTCAGGTTAATACACCAAATTCCTGAGCAGAGTAACCAACGACACAGACTCGATAAAAGCCAGAAAACAAACCTGGAGCCTAAATGTGTCAACAATGTCAACCACCTTCACAGCCTGATCATCGACTCCCTCATCTTCGTCAGCACCTTCTGCAGAAGGGTTGGCACCAATGTCCACCTGTACGGCTCCTTGAACAACCCACTGGCACATAAAAGATTTTATGTTGTGTCAAAAGACAAGAAACATATCATTGATAAAAACACAAGCAATGACATTCAAGACTATAAGTGAGGATACTTCCAACGTTAAGTAGGATTAGTATGATATCCAGGGGTATTCATACTGCAACGCAAGTAAAGAAAAATTTCTCACCTTTCCCTCAACTTCCCATAGGATCTTAGTGTCGTGCTCCTTGTAAGGAAACGAGTCCGAGAGAAGCTCATCACCTACACAAATATTCAGATAAGTCAGGCACTACAAAGTATACTTGCTTAATTTTAGACCAGAAAGAGAGCAAAAGGTAAACTCTTAGACCAGAAACTAACTCAAAACTGTAAGACAAATACACACAAATACCAAAGAAACCATTCAAGATAAATTACTCAAACATAAAGAGATCTTTAAAACAATTGCTTACTTCAATCATGGACCTGCTATGTTAACACATTCAGAAACAAAAATTTCTAGATGATACATAGAAGCCAAAGCAATTGGCATCTAAACACATTTATCACAAATTTTTTCTTAAAAAATCAACTTGATAGCATAATAAATAATAAATAAACTTAGTTGAAGTTAACTGAAGAGAATCATTGAGGCAATATATCAAATAACCAAATGAAAATTCTCTACTGCCTCTATACTAGAAAAGCAAATCAAGAGCAACAGACCAAAAAAGTCTGAATTTTTTTTTACCTCCAGACGAAACAAAGCAACACAAAACCAAATCAAGTCTGAATTCAAACACTTGAAAAGCATCGAACAATAAGCCAATTAAGCATCAAAATCCCATAAAATATACAAATCCTCAAGTCAAATCCAGATCTATAGTAATAAATCAATAACGACCAAAACCCATCAAAAATCAATAACCAAATCCAAAACCCAGCTCAACCCTGAAACAAACTCCAATCAAAATCAAACAAAAACGTATAAAGATTAGATTTTTATGCACAAACTATAAAGGAAGAAAAAGTAAAGGAAAAAAGAAACACACCGCTGAGTAAATCCTGATAGACCAACATGATGACGGCAGAAACAAGCTCCCGGATCGCTCCAAACAACGATTTATAAATCACTGGTTTACAGGGAAGCTTAGAGCGAGCGAGGGACTTGCAGAGTTATGGACAGCAAAAATTTATAGGGCGAGGGTTTGGAGGAGGGGCGGCCACTTTTTCACGATGACCTAAATGGGTCTGGCTTTTTAATTTATTTACGTTCGTATCCTTTTCCAAATGGGATAATAATGATTGCTTCAAGTTGAAGCGGACTTTTCGTCGTGGGCTGGAGATGTCGGTAGTTATCGTTTTAGCCCATTTATGATTGTTGGACTGTTTTAACTTTTAAAAGGCTGCTGACTATATAAGTTTATGGGCTGAAGAGCAAATTATTTTTAATATTCATTTTTGTAAATCAGCTTGAAGTCTTGAACAATATTATTATTGTTACAGTCAAGTTTTTTTTAGAAACCGCCTTACAAGTACCTAGATTATTACATGGATGGAATCTATGAAGATGGAGATACTATTACTACTAGGAGGAGACTCCACGCGTACATGCCTAATTCACTCGATTTTTTTTTTAGAAACCACCTTACAAGTGCATAGACTATTACATGGGTGGAATCTATGAGAAAGAGGATACTACTACTACTAGGGGGAGACTCCACGCGTACATGCCTAGTCCACTCGATCCCTTGAAACGCACCTCCTTCGGCTGCTGCTACTTCTTATCCTGCAGGAAAGCTGGTCAACGATAAATCATTGCCATGAGGTTCGAATCCGTGACCTTGCAGTTGGATGCTATGACCTCTACCACTAGGTCACCCCCTCATTGGTGTTACAGTCAAGTTGACTCTCAATTATTTGATTTGATTTAGTAAGGAGAAAATGATTTTGTCTTGATAGAGGAGTCTCTATCCAGTATATCCGGGGGACTATACTCCCCCTCCTATTTTTTACACTACTAGTCCTTCTTGTACTTTTTTTTACTTTTTTTAATAATCTTTTTATTATTTGTAAGTTTAGTCCCTGTCACTTTTTTCTCTCTCTCTCTCTTCTAAAAAAACATCTCTAATATTCAAACGATCATATCTCTCAATCCGTGAAGAATTAGAAAATGTGTTACACGTGAATTTTATTGTACTCGTCGAGATCTATCCAACAAGATACATGTCGAATATTTTTTTCGAGTTTTAAAATGATTAAATTTTGATGGGCAGAATAAGATGGATATCTAGTTTAGAAAGATAGATAACCAATTTAGTTTAGATTAAGATTCTTGTATTGCATATATCTCTTGATCCGTAAAGAATTAGAATACGAATTATACATGAAATTTATAGTGCTCGACGAAATCTATCCGATAAGATCCATGATGAATATTTTTTTTGAACTTTAAATGTATTTAAATTTTACGGGCAGAAATGAAGAAATGTGTTTTTCGTTTTCTTTTAAAAATGGTTATCCGTTGTGTTCCTACTGATTCTCCAACCGGTTTGGACTGATTATCCATTCTGTTTGTACTTGTTATCCAATCATATTTTTGACATTCACTCTTCAAAGAAAAAAAAAGAAAGAAAGAAAAAATAATTGGATAAGAATTGCAAACAATTTGGATAATCAATAGAAAATAATTGGATAATGAGTGCAACATGTTGGATAATCAGTACAAAAAAGTTTGACAATCATTTTCATAAAACTGCAAGGAAAAAAAATACTGGATAACCACCACAAAGAAGTTGGATAATCAATATAAACACATTGGATATCCAGTTTAAGAAGATAGATAACCAACTTATTTTACATTCATATTGTTGCGTTACTTATATCTTTTGATCCGTAAAGAATTATAACACGAATTATAAATGAAATTTATAGTGCTTGACGAGATCTATCCGATAAAATCAATGTTGAATATTTCTTTTGAGCTTTAAATGCATTTAAATCTTACGGGCAGAAATGAATAAACTGGAAAATGATTATTCGTTGTGTTCATACGGATTATCCAACCGGTTTGAATTAATTACCTATTTTGTTTTATCCAATCATATTTTTAACATTCATTTTTCAAAAAAGAAAAAAAGAAAAAAGAAGATGGATAACCAATTTAGTTTAGATTGATATTCTTGTATTACATATATTTCTTAATCCGTAAAGAATTAGAACACGAATTATATATGAATTTTATAGTGCTCGATGAGATCTATCCAGTACAAACGAGTTGGATATCCAGTACAAACCAAATAGATATCCAGTACAAACAAGTGTGATATCCATTACAAACAAGTTGGATAGGTATACAAACCAAATGGAAGGATATCCACTACAAACAAGTTGGATAAATATCCAGTGCGTACAAACAAGTTAGATAGACATACAAACCAAATGGATGGATATTCAGTACAAACAAGCTGAATAGGTATACAAACCAAATGGATGGATATCCAGTACAAACAAGTTGGATATCCAGTACAAGCGAGTTGGATATCCAGTATAAACAAGTTGGATATGCATACAAACCCGTTGGATTACAACTACAAAACAAGTTGGATAAGCATATAAACCAAATAGATGGATATCCAGTACAAGCGAGTTGGATATCCAGTATAAATGAAATGGTTATCCAGTACAAACAAGTGTGATATCCATTACAAACAAGTTTGATAAGCATACAAACCAAATGGGTGGATATCCAGTACAAACAAGTTGGATAACCTGTTCAAACTGGTTGGATAATCAGCATGAACACAACGGATAACCAATTTAAAATAATTTGGTTATCCATCTTGTAAAACTGGATATCCACCTTTATTCTGCCCATCAGAATTTAATCATTTTTAAGCCTGAAAAAAATATTCACTATGGATCTTGTTGGATAGATCTCGACGAGAACAATAAATTTCATGTTTAACACATTTTCTAATTCTTCACGGATTGAGAGATATGCTTGTTTAAAGATTAGAGATTTTTTTTTGGAGGAGAGAGAAAAAATTGACAGGGACTAAACTTACAAATAATAGGAAGATTATTAGAAAAAGTAAAAAAAGTACAATAAGGACTAGTAGTGCCAAAAATAGGAGGGGGAGTATGGTGCCCCCGGATGCATTCAATAAATTGCCTGATAGAGACCTTGACAAAAATACTTACTAATATCATGTTATTTAATTGATCATTACCAAAACGGTTTACTTATTTTTTTATTTGGGTTTTAGTGTTAATGAAAAAATAATATAAATAATTTAAGGAGGTAGCATTTTTTTATTTGGGTTTTAATGTTAATGAAAAATAAATATAAATAATTTAAGGAAGTAGCATTCAACTCCCATAATAATAAATTTTGAATAAGTTCTAGGTGACATTATATCATTGTTGGGTGTCTTGAGAAATCATTTGTCAGAACAATTCTAATAAATGATATTCCCTCCAGTAGATTATAGTATTAAAAGTTCGGATGATGAATAGAAGAAACTAAAGGCCCTGTAAACTTAATGAGCCAAAAATATGGGGCAAAAGTCGGAAAAATAAAAATAAAAATAAAAATCTGCCTTTCATGAGAGAGGGTATTGATGAGTGGAATTTTGACAAGGGTCACATTTTGACTTTTTTTTTTTTTTTTATACAAATCCTGTAACAATGGTTAATAAGCAATATGCATGTATTTTTTTTTGTTATATATTATTTATTTATTAACAAATTTAACTAATATATAGTTCCTGATAAACCATCGGATATTTTTTTGGGGGGGACAAATTAAATACGCTTACTAACAAAAATGAGTGTTGCAAGATATATAAACCAAAATGTGTTGAAAGAAGATCCTCTTCTATTAACCTCTTCAGATTTTTTTTCCAATTAAATTTTGTCATTTGCTAGATTTGATATAACATATGGAGAAAAATCTGATCATCATTGAGCTATGAAGGATAGAACAGTTGCTAAATAAGTTCCATTTATTGAGGTCCACCTATAAAAAAATGTTTTTACCGGTGAAAATCTTCTACTAAATTTGACACTTGCTTTTATTTGTGGAGAAGGTAAGTAAACGAATTTTGTCATGTAAAAGAAAACATAAGATTTGCAATAAAACTCATATTTGGGTTGCACCGGCTCAATTTTTCTTTGGATTGTGTTCGGCTTAAACTGAACCCTCCATTTTTATTATTACGCTCCAATAAATTACCTGTGCATGAGGGATGAATTATTGTACTAGGTACTAGTACTTTTTAGGTCCTTTTAAAAGTAATTCACTTTGTTACTATTATTATATGCATTATTTTTTCAAGGGAATTATACAGTGGGAAAAGAGAGAAAACAAAATCAAATGGTTTTTCAGGCCGGAAGTAATAAATTAGTACACTTCTTGTATGAATTTATATATATATATATATATATATATATAAATATATTCCTTAATTAACATATTTGGACCAACCCCCACCCCTATATATAATCTTCTTGCCCAAGTCACGCAAAAGTTTACAGTTCATCCGATTTTCAGAGCTTTGTTTTTTCTCCTTAATTATCACTTCAAAGTATTCTCTTGTTTTAGTTCCAAATGGAGATTCCGGCTGCTGCTGCACCTCCGACGTGCACAATTTGCTTGGAACCGGTGATCCACGGCGGCAATCATGCGTTGACAACGCTCAACTGCGGCCACATCTTCCATCTCTGTAAGTTTATAATCATCTGATTATGTGTTTCTGTACATCACTGTCTTATAAGGTAATTAATCATTATTCTTTCTTTCTGGTTGAATTAATAAAATAGGTTTTCGTGATGTAACAATGATTTATGATATGAAAATGTCGAATTATTGTTTGCGTACGTTCTTATATTTTTTCCTATTAATCCCGTAGGGGAAGTTTTTCGCTGTCTCATCATAGTATTTATTTAGACGATGTTCTACATGATTAACTTGTTATTAGGGTTTGTAACACTATAATGTTTTCAGATCAATATGAGGTGGAATATTACCATTTTGTAAAAAGGCATATTGATATTTGATTTGATTTACATTCCATATATAGCTCGACTATTCTAATTTTAGAACTTTGCAAGGTTTCGTCATGCCTACAAACAGGAAAGGGAAAAAGATAATTCCATTTTACTCTCTTCGTTTTGCTTAATTAATTTATTGCATTCTTATTTATCTCGTATAGTAACTTTCTGTAGTGTCCTCAAATTTATTTATTTTATCTTTACGGTTAACAGATTGATTCATGAGAGTTTTTTTTTTACCCTATTGTCACTTTTCGGGGATTATCATACATATCCTAATTCCTAAAGTAACCTGGTTTGCAGAGCCATATTCTCAAAAATCTTTTTTTTTTCACCAAAATAAAAAAAATATATTCTCAAATAATTAACTTCTTACTTTTCTAAAAGTTTATCGCCGATTACAAAATGAAAATTTCACTGGGTTTATTTCCCATATCCCCCCGCTTAATTAAGTGAGTCTTTCTCTAAAATAAGCGCAATTATGAAAATTTGAGTTCCTTTTTTTTTTTTTTTTTTCCCGATGAAGTCCTCCATAGTGAATTTTTTTTAGCATATTATGAATATAGAGTATTTAATCAAGGGAACAAGAAAAATAGGTACCAAAAGTATAAAACTATTCAAGTTTTAAAATTTACTCGATCAAGTACTGTAGTTTACTCAAATTACGTTATATGGTTACTTGTCCAAAAAATTATTACAAATTATTAGACTTATCGACTAGATCTCAAATTATTTGATATGCTCTATTACTCGAGACTCGAAGACAAAAGAAGGCTACAGGAATTAATCTTTGAGTTTTCTCCTCATTCTTTCCCATTTTCTCTTGTTCCTTTTCTCCAGAAAGCATCGATCATTAAATTAATTATCCGATTTGCCCAGCATGATTTTGAAGATGTGAACAACTATTTGCCAAGATAACTTATTCTGAATCTAAAATTCGAATCTTGTTTAGGTAGGGTGGGGTTTATGAGTGAGTGAAAAATGGTTAATGTCTCTTTTATTGTAAAAATAAATAATGCCTATATAATTAGATTATTTTTTATAATGTCAGCTAAGTCTACAAAATTTCAGAAACGGCTGCATATACATTGCTTAGATATACTGATTTTTGAAATCCAACCAGTTTGAAGAAAATATTTTGATTCATGGGGTAGAATTGGAATAAGAAGATTTTATGATTTTTAAATGCCAGACTTCTGCGAATATATATATATATATATATATATATATATATATTTTTTTTTGGCAAACTGTAATCTTTTTTCCCCTGAAACAGCTTGCATTGGGAGTGCCTTTAATATGAAATGCGAGATGGAGTGTCCTAATTGCCGAGGGGTTGAAGACAGCCCGTGGCGGTTTGCTATGGGAAATGAGGATATTGAATATGAGGATGATGATGATGGGTACGAGGTTAACCAGAATAATAATCAGGTAAACTAGGGAGTTATTCATATCATAATTCATTAATTTGCCGTTTATATATAAACCCTTATTTTTTTGAGGATACATTATGTATCAGATGTCTAAAATCATTCTTCTGACTAATCTGATTTATGAATTCTTTAACTTTCTTTTTTTTTTTCTACTATATGCATGAAAATTCAAGCATAAAGGTGGAGCCGAGGGAAACGCCCCGGCTCTGTTAGTTTTATGATGATACATAGTAATGTTATTAGTATCGCAAAACACAGAATGTAGGTCAACCGCAGCCTCAGCAGCAGCCACAGCCACACCCTCATCAGCAGCAGCTACATCCGCATCCAGGGATTAATTGTCATTGCTGGAATAACTTCTTGGTGGATTTCAGGTGATGATAAATGCATAATATTATTAGTTTGGAAGACAATTAATTACAAGATAAACCAAAATTAGTACTATATTTGTATAGTTATAGATGTTAACTGAATTCCTGTTCCAAAAAAATTAATTATGTTTTTTTTTTCCAACAATGTTTTTTTATTTTATTTAAAAATTACTTGATTTGCTTGAAAAATGAAATGATGCATTGTTTAGTATCTGTTTACAAAAATATGTGTTTTGATATTGCTTTTTCACATATGCAGCCAAGTACGGCCACTTCACGTCAACCAAGGTGAGTTCTCTTAAACATTAATTGTTCTTGTTCATGCAAAAAGAGTTGTAATTTGTTTTTCTTTCTTCCTTTTTTTTTTTGTGTTTGATTTCATGATTTGATATGCAGGAAGGTTGGGTGGCAACAACAATGTTGGTGGTTATAACACATATCCTAACGCCAACCAACCTCCACAAGTTGGGTTTGCACCAATTGTAATAGGATCGAGTACTCGGTCTTCGCTAGTAATGGTGAGAACGGAGGTGGTGGCGCTATTACCGGCACAACCAATGCCGGTGGCAATGCCTCCAACATGGGTTGCGCCAGCTACACCAACAATACATGTTGGAAACCATCCTAATCATAGAAATTTCGCGAATAATCAAACTTATCAAAGTGTTGATGGAGCTAACCCTAGATCTTTTGCAACCCACAGGTACATATTTGTTCAAATTTTTTTAACTAATTTTCTTGGAGTTTGTATAGGTTCTCTCTCTCTCCCCCCCCTCCTCTTTTTCGAAGCTTAATTAATATTGCTTCTTTGTTGTATTATTTTCAGTTTAATAAACATGACAATTCTTCTTTTTCTTGATTCAAATAGTGCTGCTCATGAAGAGTCTAGTCTTGGGCAAGGAGGAAATTTTCGTGGGGAGCAGCCATTGGAAGATGTTGTTCTATTCGGCCAAAATATCACGAGGACACCACAAAGTGTGGAAAATTCTTCAACCAGGACACAAGTCAGGCTATTTGGACATGATTTAAACTCATAAGTAAGGCCATGTTTTGTCACTCCTCGTCTACAAGAAAAACATTATTAGTTTCTCTCGTTTGGAATTTTAAACACTTTTTGTGAATTTTTTTTTTGGTCGTGGGATATTTTATTTCTTAAAGGATGCGATAGTTTTGTTTAACCTTTTTATTTATTTATTTTATTGTCATTCGTCAAATAACGAGTTAATCTAAAGAAAATCAGAGATCATTCATGATTCGAGACAAGATGATCAAGAAAGCAGGAATACCTTGAAAGGAGAAGCAGGAATTAAAAAAACGAGATCTGAGTATTTTGAATTATTAGAGTGTAAAATGTTACATTTATCATGCTAAGTATACTAGCATATATATATATATATATATATATATATACACAATAGAATACGTTTCTTAACCGACTATGCCAGCTAGGATTATAAAATGAATCTTCTAGAGATTATCCAACCAAAAACATTTCGGCATGAATCATCTAAAATGCAGGTTCAAAGATCAGCAATACTCCAGCAGCAGTAAGTGATCTCGCCTTCGAATCTTGGCAGCAACTTTCTGGTAACTTTCAGGATGAGTATTCTAAGGTGGTAAATGATCATTCTTCACCCCCTCCTCAAGATGAGCATCCCATAAGCTCAACTTGGACTGAAGAAATTGAAAAATAGATGATGGCAATGGCTTATTAAAGAAATCAGCCAGCTGTAGTGAAGTAGAAATATGCAGTGGCAGCAAGAATCCAACCTTGTATTGATCGCGAACGACATGGCAATCGATCTCGATATGCTTTGTTCGTTCGTGAAATACAGGATTTGCAGTAATCTCTAAGGTTGCTTTGCTGTCACAATAAAAGGGAATCGGCAAAGAAGGAGAGATATGAAAATCCTTGAGAATATAGGCAATCCACAGTAACTCTCGAGTGGCCGTGACCATTGCTCGATATTCAGTTTCAGCTGATGAGCAAGAGATCGTTCCTTGTTTCTTGGTTTTCCAACTGATAAGACTGGTTCCTAAGAAAACACAATATCCAGTTAGTGAATGTCGAGATGATCTACAGGACCCCCAATCCGAATCACTATAGGCCTGAATAGAAAGAGATGCAGTAGAGGCATAAAAAAGTCCCTTGCCTACACAACCAGACAGATAACACATCACATGGATGGCTGCTTGCCAATGCGAATCATGTGGAGCTTGCACATGTTGACTGAGCTGTTGAAATGCATATGTCAAGTCTAGACGTGTATAATTGAGATAGAGGAGTCGACCAACTAGTCGACGATATTGAGCAGGATCATGATAAAGGGGGGTAGAATCTTTATCCTCAAAAACAAAGTGAAGTCCAGGGGGTAATGGAGTGGCTGGAGCTTTACAATCCAATACACCAGCAGAAGCTAATAAATCTGTGATGTATTTTCTTTGGCTGATATAAATCCCTGAGGATGAATGAGCAATCTCCATGCCTAAAAAATACTTGACATAACCCAAGTCCTTTATAGTGAATAAGTCATGAAGATATTCCTTGACCTTGACAATTTCAGCTTCACTGGATCCTGTCACCAACACATCATCCACATAGACTAACAAATATAACTGATAATCAGGTCTGTGACAACAGAACAAACATGGATCATGGTAAGACTATTGGAATTCATAGGCAGTGAGCTTAGATGAAAACTCCAGATTCCACTATCTAGATGCTTGCTTTAAGCCATATATTGACTTATTTGAACGACAAACTTGACCTGATTTCACATTGTCATAACCCAAAGGAGGCAGCATATACACTTCCTCATCCAGAAAACTATGAAGAAAGGCATTGTTTACATCAAGTTGATGAACTGGCCAACCTGTGGATGCTGCTTAGAAAACACCATTCTGATTGTTACTATCTTGGCCACAGGAGAAAAAACTTCACAAAAATCTTCTCTTTCAACTTGTGTATAACCCTTTGCAACAAGTCTAGCCAAATCTGTCCAATGATCTATCTGGTTTTCTTTTGATCTTATAAACCTACTTTGAACCAACTACTTTTTTTCCTACTGGCAAATCTGTTATGGTCCATGTGTTGTTATTTTCCTGAGGGCCTTCAATCCATTTCAGATTGGTTCGAGCTTGATTATAAGTACTAGGCTTAGACATCTCAGACACATTGGCAACAAAAGATATGTATGCAGGAGATGGAAGGAAAATAGATGGAGAAGGATTTTCTACACAGATAAAAGAGGTCTCAAAGTCTTACATCCAGCCAGGTTGTTTTCTGACCCTAGAACTCATTCTAAGAGAGGGTTGAATAGAGAATGTGGAATGAGATACAGGATCAGGAGAAGGATTAGAAAAGGAGGATTCATGTGAATCGTCAAAAACGGAGGAAGTATCAGTATTGAATATGGGATCATACCTGCGTACTATAAACTCGAAAGATAAACGAACGAGTCTTTGCTATATTCCTAGTTACTTACATAACTTACATATAATTCAAATGTATCCTTCATTTAAATTAAAAGAGTGAATACAAAGATAGTCATTAAACAATGAAAAAGTTTAGGTTTTGGTCACTGTAACAAATTAATTCTAAATAAAGTCACTACACTAATAAACAGTGATCAAATGAGGCCATTTTGTTAAAGAGTTCCAAATTGTTCCACATAAAGTTTTGAGATTTTTATCATTACAGATCTCAAAATTTGACTATTTTTTGACAGGAAAAGTATACATGTGCTTTTAATAGAATGCAAAACTATCAAACACTTCCCATCATAACTTAATTGTAATATCCCACACAAAATATTAGGCCTTGTTTGTTTGTCATTTGATTTTAATTTTTGTCTCATTTTATCTCTTAAACACAAATCCCAATACACTATCCAAACATCAATTTAATTTACCTTTTAAACTATTGTAAAGTTTAGTACCGATGGTCACTAAACTATTTTAAAGTTTTAAGTTTGGTCACTAAACTGTTATAAAGTTTAGTGGCGGTGGTCACTAAACTATTGTAAAGTTTTAAGTTTGGTCACTAAACTATTGTAAGTTTTAAGTCCGGTCACTATACTATCACACTTTCAAAAAATGGTCACTATACTATAATACTTTGCAAAAATTGTCACCAAACTACATTTTAAATCTCCTCCCAAATCCAAATGTAAAACTAAAACAAAACATTGTCCAAACATCAGCTTACTTTCCCAAACACATCTAAATGCGTGAAATAAAAGCATTCAATCTACCCTCGTCTTTGAAATATCATTTCAATATTGTTTGACTTGAGAGATCTGGAGACAGAAGCGAAATATGTATCAAATTTCCTTTAAAGTTTAGTGTTACCCCTTTGTGGTTCGCTACTACTATATCACTTGCTAGATGTAAAACCCTAGCTATTCTGCTTGATCCCATAAAAAATAATGCACACCTACCATTATTTTTGAAGGTCTATTCGCTGTATTGGAATCTAACATCTGTTTCAAAAGTTCATAAGATTGTGGTAAATAGGCCACTCTGTTGGCTAATAGGTCATTCATATTATCCCCATTAGTATGGTGTCTGTTGTTTGGACAGTAGTAAAAGACACAAGTAAGATTGAAAATGTCCACAGCTAGACAGTAATAAAAGACACAAGTAAGATTGAAAATGTCCAGAGCTCTTGTTTGTATTTCATGGCGAATTGTTACTCTGGTTTATACAAATTCAATGATACTCTTACTTAATCCTGATAGGTTGGCACATAATCCTTCCTTCAATTCGATGATGACGATATTATGGGGTGTCACGTTTCAAATAAGATAACCTAATTAATGCAGATGTTACAATCCTAAACCCACATACGCCTTTTAGAATTTTCAATAAAAAGAAGGTTGGAACTCCATTAACTAGCCACTTACTCATGTTCATTCCATCCAGAGTATTTCCACTAGTTTGAGCATAAACAATATCATACAAAGTGTACTTATAGCTCTCGATGTTGATATAAGCAAAATTGGTTTTTTTTTTTTTTTTTTTTGTTTCTTTACGAATCCATAATATCTAATGATATTTGTATTGTTGTCCATCATCATCATGTTTCTCTTCTCTTCTGTGGAGTGATTTAGTGGTAAATCACTTACCTTTGTGATTGCATCCATCATGAAACTTCTGGTTTGGCCGTTCAAGGCTATAAGAATTCAAGCATCACCTGATTAGATCATGCAAGATCATAAATTTATGCAACTCTTATATGCTGTTTCTATCATGAAGCAAATGCACCTGCTACTGTCTTAGTCAACGACCTAGGATGTGGTTCAAATATTTGGGATAGGCGCTTCTAGGTGAAAAGTACTGACTTTATCTTCATCATATGTGTCATTTAATTGTTTAGATTGGCTTTAGGGCCGGTTATCATATTGTGAAAAATCATTACGTGATCAATTACTATGGAGTGATAATTGTGTCTTTTATGAGAAAACATGGTTGTATTTGTTAAGAATTTTGTGTCGGTTTTTCCAGTTATAAATTTTAAGAAATTAATGAAAATATGCAAATTTGTAAAATTGTTACTTTCCAAAGAGTTGGAACTTAAATTGAGCCATCAAAACATGCATTTTGTAAAGCAAACTTTGCCAGCAACTTGCTAGTACAAGAGATCTAAGTTTTCAAGACAAGAAGTTGGTTAAATCATGATATGAACGAGATTATACACTTTAATTGCTTAACTTATGTTTGCGTAACGTTTATTTGCCAAAAATGAACATATAAATAATAAGTGAGTGATTAATAATGCTAAATATTTTTTCCAGCTCTAAGTTTTCAAAAAAAGAAATATCTAGGTAGCGAGTTTTATACATACAAGACCATGATTTACGAGGAAAGATTGCTAGGAGTTTATTACTTCCTTTTCTTTTTGACAAATGCAGATAATATCTCAATATCTTTTAAAATAAGTTAATCTAGCTGTTCTTCCTTTAAGAGTTAGAACATGGTAGGATCATGATATTATTGAGATAGCTCATATCTGCAGATTGCAAACGTGGAAAGATAAACGAATGCATAGTACTTATATAACACATACATATATATATATATTATATTCCTAGTTACATTAATTATATATACATACAATTTAAAGAGCAGCTCGACTCAAGGAAGAGATGGCGTACCAATACAAGATTGATAATTAAGTTTGAGGCGGCTTCTATACAAAGACGGTTATACCCGGATGCTGCCATTTAATTTGATCGTTCTTAGTTATATAATTTTGATAGCTCGGGGCTCAGGTGTAATGTGCCGTGATTTTGAAAACTGTTTGGAGAAGTATTCATTGAACTAAATACTAGCAACCGTTCATGTATTTGGTGATTGACATCTACATACTTGATAATTTTACTTTTACCAAGTCAGGTGCGGATTCCCCGTTAAGTTCATTTGGGAGAATAGGTCCTCGATCCAGTTTTCGTAGATTAAAAAATAGTAGAAACTACATTTGTTGGTGCTCCACTATTGTCTTTGTAATTTTTGAGTTTATTTTTTGTTTGGAAAAGAAAAAGTTAACATACAATTTAACTATACATACCCTTTATTTTTTTGGAAAAAACAAAACTATACCCTTTTTTACATAGAGAAGAAACATGCTATAACTACTCTAGCTAGCATATCATACTAGCTAACACCAATCTATTTCCCCCAGTGGAAGAACAAAAAAGCCTCAGAAAACCATTTGAATAATTTAGTCGTAGTATCAATGTCAGAAAATCTAATGCAAAATCAAATTCCTTTAATAAGTGTTTTACGTTTAATTAGCTCTATCTGTTATATGTACCCTTAGTAATATCCCTGCCAAAGCCCACCATGTACACCAGGGTCATCATCATGTGCAACTCTTAAAACTATATGCCCCTCTAATTAATTACAAATTGATGGGTTTCATCAAATTGGAAAAATGAAGAAAACATATATAGATAAAATTGTTGGTGTGGCAAGCTGATTTTGTTAGTCCCTTTAAGGGTTCTCTTTGTTTTTTCCCCTTTAAGAAAACCTCAAAATATATTGATGCTTTCAGTTTCAAAGGATTACATAAATCCATCACATGCTTTTCTCTTTTGTTTTTTTTTCGCCGCGGGGAGTAAATATCATCAGTATACCGCCCATGGGAAACTGCATTGAAAAAATCTAATGAAAACACAATACAAAAACTAATTTTCCATCCCCTATTTATACCCCAAATAGGTAGCTTTATTTCTTCATGTCCTTCATTTCATTGTTTGTTCTTCAGTAGCTAAATATATTATACATAAGAAAATACCTTTCTCTCAAGAAAGTCTTCTTTTCTTTCCCATTTTTATGAGTTCTAAAACAATGGCAGCTCCCAACAGTTGTATGATAATCATCGAAAACATACAATAAAATTGTAGGTGGGGCAAGCTAATTTTGTTAGTCCCTTCAAAGGATTACATAAATCCATCACAACCTTTTCACTTTTGTTTGTTTTCGCCGCAGGGAGTAAATATCATCACTATACCGCCCATGGCAAACCGTATTGACAAAATCAAATAGAAACACAGTACAAAAAACTAATTTTCCATCCCCTATTTATACCCTAAATAGGCAGCTTTCTTTTTTCACATCCTTCATTTCATTGTTTGTTCTTCAGGAGCTAAATATATTATACATAAAAAACACCTTTCTCTCAAGAAAGTCTTCTTTTTTTCACATTTTTCTGAGCTCTAAAACAATGGCACCTCCCACCAGTGGTATGATAACCAACGAAAACAACAACGATGACGTCGTCGAGGTCGACAACAACGCCAACCCCGGGGAAAATGCTCCATTGCCAGCACCTTTTTCAGAAGTCGACGGCACCCTGATGCCGCTGGCCAACTTGCAGCGAATCATGCAGAAGGTACTTCCGGCAGATGCAAAAATACCCCTCGAGTCTAAAGAGCTGATCCAGCAATGTGTCAATGCGTTCATCGGGATGATCACTCGGGAGGCCAATGACTGGTGCAAGAGGGAGCACCGAAAAACTATCCAATCTGAAGACCTACTTTACGCGATGAAAAAGCTAGGGTTCCATGATTACGTGGAACCCTTGATGGATTATCTCCAACGTTACAGGGAGTTTAATAATCACGGGGGATCACTGCCATCCTTTTCTTCTTCCTCTTCATCAGCGGCTGCTGTTGAGAATCCGGCAGCGAGTGGTTTTGCCCCCAGCTGGACAATGGGGCCCATTGGCAGTGGACCTTTTGGAGAGATGCAACAAATCCCTGGTTTTCAGCAGGTGGGGCCCTCTTACCCACCGCCTGCTCCTGGATTATTTGGCGGTACTGGAGCTCCGAGTTTTCCAGAAGGAGTTACAGAATTCCCTTTCTTTAATTATAATCAGTATAATGGTGGGGCAGGTCAGTATCCCACCGGTGAGCCGGGTCAAGGAAGTAGTGGAGACAATGTGGAGCCTGACTTTGGGGGTTTCAGTGGGTAGACTGTGTTGTTATTAGCTGCTATTATGTTTTCAGATATTTCTTTGTGATATTGTTTTTGTTATGTTTTCTTCTTGTTTTTATGTTTTGAACCAATTGTGTAATGTGTGTCATTTGCCTTCAGCAATAATAAACATCATTTGGATGGAATTATTTATCGTGTCAGATTAACCTTCAAAGAATCAAGTTACTTAATCAATATGAATTGCTTACACCGTTCTTTGCAATCAATAACGTCTAAATAAATTTGAAGCTTTCTCTTTTACTTTGTAATTGCAAGAAATCCAGCCAATGAAGACAAATTTTTATGTAGAAAATAAGAGGGTTTTTGGCTTTTTCCAAGTTTTAATACGGTACACAACGATATTTAATTTTACAATTTATTAGTGTTATAATCGGTTACGTATCATACTTTATTTAGTCCTTATTCAATCTGAGTAGACGGATAACACATTAAATTGATAATTAAAAGTGACACAATAATGTCCATCTAGTTTGTTTAATTGGACAAACACACTTGAAAACACACAATTGATTGTCGTAGTCAAAATGTTTTCATCTAAAGAAACAATATTAATAATTATTCACCAAGTCCTCATGATCATTTAAAGCACAGAATCCAATTTCAGATCAAGTCTTCATGAGAACATATTCTACTCAAAGTAAAATATAGAAATCGTGTGTGAAAGTGTCATGTGTCATGCCCACGTTAATTTTGTTTGTTTTTTTTGGGAACAAATGTTATTACCATTCCCAAATAACGTTGCTTGGCATGTTAATATTGTTAGAGGAAGAAGTCTAGTCCACATGATTATTGCATGTAAATATATGTAATTTAGTGATTATATATGTGTATAAATATACGATAAAATTGGTAATTACCGATTTTAAAAGTATCATTAATTAATTACTTTCAAGATCTAATCACATAAATGGTGGAAATAACTCTTTCACTTCTTCAAACTTAATATGGATCATTTATCTCATGACAACTCTAACTTTCCCATAGTGGGCAGGATTCATATTATAGGTGATAGGCTCCATAAAGAGGATTTGATTCTTCTCATGCTCAAAAATTTCATTCAAAACCATTAGAAATTCCATGTTTTTGTTTTCCCTACACCTGATAAACAACAGATTTCCTATTTCTCCGTCCAAAACAAGTGTAGGTTTCAATTGCTCATATTGATCCCAGAGTCTTTTCAACTTTCCATAGTACTGTGAAATTGACATACTTCCTTGCTTAACCAAAGTTAATTCATGTTTTAATTCAAATAGTTGAGGTGCAGTAGTCGTTCCATACCTCTGTTCTAATTCTCTCCACAGAGTCCGAGAATCATGCACAAATTTAAACATATTTGCAATCTCAGGTATCAAAGAACTTTTCAACCATGAATACACCATACTGTTAGCTCGATTCCACTTTATACACTTAAGTGTTCCTTCAGATGGCTTAGGAAAAGTTCCATCAACAAATTCTAGTTTCAATTTTGGCTCTAAAGCAGGAACGATAGCATTTTTCCATACTAGATAATGCTTCTCACTTAGCAATACTGAAACCAAAGGTGTAACAGGATTATCAGAACCATGAACATACAGTTGTTCTTCGATCAACTCATCTAGCTCTCTTTGTGTTGCTTCATCGATAACCTGATGCCTTTGAATTGCCTCATCCATTATTAAACTTGAATCAACACATGAAAGCAAAAAATTGACTGTAATTTGAATTAGGTTTTGCTAAGAACGAATCGAGAACAGAATCGAGAAGTCTAATACTTATTCTAATGAATTTGAGCAAGATTATTTGCAGCGGAATTCAGAACAGGCCGAAACTTGCTCTGACACCATAAAGAAAATCAGAGATCATTCATAATTCGAGACAAGATGATCGAGAAAGCAGGAAGAACTTGAAAGGAGAAGCAGGAATAAAAAAAATGAGATCTGAGTATTTTGAATTATTAGAGTGTAAATGTTACATCTATCATGCTAAGTATACTAGTATATATATATATATATATATATATATATATATATATATACATACAATGGAATAGGTTTCTTAACCGACTATGCCTGCTAGGATTATAAAATGAATCTTCTAGAGATCATCTCGCCAAAAACATTTCGGCATGAATTAGCTAAAACGCAGGTTCAAAGATCAGCAATACTCCAGCAGCAGTAAGTGATCTCGCCTTCAAATCTTGGCAGCAACTTTCTGGTAACTCTCAGGATGAGCATTCTAAGGGTTCAGGATGAGAATTCTAAGGTGGTAAATGATCAATCTTCATAATCATACTTGGATAGCCTAGTGTGATTATGAGAAGAGTAATTCGAACATTGACAAATTTCTTTTTTTTTTCTTTTTTAAAAGAATTTTGCATGCACAGAATGCAAAGTCTAGTCTGAAGACAGAATTTGTGATTTTTAGTCCAACTAGTTAAATTAAAATGATATAATAAAATAGATACTCTTTCTAGAGTTGCAAAATATTAATAAAAAATAAAAATCACTTTGAAAAAGGAGAGATTAAATCAATGAACATCCCTTTTACCCTATTAAAGCAGAATACAGGATGTTGATGTGGCAACTTCTTATTAAAATTTTTTGGCTCTAAATGCACCATATTGCAATAACCATTCTGCCACGTGTCATCCCTTTTTAAAAGAAAAAAAAATCTTATCTGGAGAAACAAAAGCTACTTTACAAAAATAGCTACACAATTTTAACTCCTAACATTTATCATTTATCAATCAAATTAAAATAGTATTTAAATTTGCCCATAAACTTATCCCCTTTATTACTCCACATTCTTTTGTATGATTTCTGCATCGTTGTAATTTTCAATATTTTTTCTCCTTTGGCAGATGATTGTTTTTTTATTTTTATTTTTATTTTTGGCTAAAAAAGGGGAAAAAAACCAAATGTGTAGCTATTTTATTTTTTCCAAATCAAGAATTTATTTATCTATTAACACAAAATTAAAGTAAAGGGGTGAACCAATACAAGATTGATAATTAAGTTTGAGGCGGCTACTATACAAAGACTGTTATACCCGGATGCTTCCATTTAATTTGATCGTTCTTAGTTATATAATTTTGATAGCTTGGGGCTCAGGTGTAATGTGCCGTGATTTTGAAGACTGTTGGGACAAGTGTTCATCGAACTAAATACTAGCAACCGTTCATGTATTTGGTGATTGACATCTACATACTTGATAATTTTACTTTTACCAAGTCAGGTGCAGATTCCCCGTTCATATGGGAGAGTAGGTCCTTGATCCAATTTTTGTAGACTAAAAAATAGTAGAAACTACATTTGTTGGTGCTCCACTATTGACTTTGTAATTTTTGAGTTTTTTTTTTTTGTTTGGAAAAGAAAAAGTTAACATACAATTTAACTATTCATACCCTTCATTTTTTGGAAAAAACAAAACTATACCCTTTTTTATATAGAAAAGAAACATGCTATAACCACTCTAGCTAGCATATCATACTAGCGAACACCGATCTATTTCCCCCAGTGAAAGAACAAAAAAGCCCCAGAAAACCATTTGAATAATCTAGCTGCGGTATCAATGTCAGAAAATCTACTGCAAAATCAAATTCCTTTAATAAGTGTTTTACGTTTAATTAGCTCTATCTGTTATCTGTACCCTTAGTAATATCCCTGCCAAAGCCCACCATGTCCTCCAGGATCACCATCATGTGCAACTTTTAAAACTATATGCCCCTCTAATTAATTACAAATTGATGGGTTTCATTAAATTGGAAAAATGAAGAAAACATATATAGATAGAATGGTTGGTGTGGCAAGCTGATTTTGTTAGTCCCTTTAAGGGTTCTCTTTGTTTTTTCCCCTTTAAGAAAACCTCAAAATATATTAATGCTTTCAGTTTCAAAGGATTACATAAATCCATCACATGCTTTTTAAATATCATCAGTATACCGCCCATGGGAAACTGCATTGACAAAATCTAATGACAACACAATACAAAAACTAATTTTCCATCCCCTATTTGTACCCCAAATAGGCAGCTTTATTTCTTCAAGTCCTTCATTTCGTTGTTTGTTCTTCAGTATCTAAATATATCATACAAAAGAAAATACCTTTCTCTCAAGAAAGTCTTCTTTTCTTTCACATTTTTTAGGAGTTCTAAAACAATGGCAGCTTTCACCAGTTGTATGATAATGCCTAGCTAATTTTGTTAGTCCCTTTAATGATTCTCTATGTTTTTTCCCCGTTAAGAAAATCTTAAAATATATTGATGCTTTCAGTTTCAAAGGATTACATAAATCTATCACAACCTTTTCACTTTTGTTTGTTTTGGCCGCAGGGAGTAAATATCATCAGTATATCGCCCATTGCAAACCACATTGACAAAATCAAATAGAAACACAGTACAAAAACTAATTTTCCATCCCCTATTTATACCCTAAATAGGCAGCTTTCTTTTTTCACATCCTTCATTTCATTGTTTGTTCTTCAGGAGCTAAATATATTATACATAAAAAAACACCTTTCTCTCAAGAAAGTCTTCTTTTTTTTTCACATTTTCCTAAGTTCTGAAACAATGGTAGCTCCAACCAGTGGTATGATAACCAACGAAAACAACAACGATGACGTCGTCGAGGTCGACAACAACGCCAACCCTGGGTAAAATGCTCCATTGCCAGCACCTTTTTCAGAAGCCGACGGCACCCTGATGCCGCTGGCCAGCTTGCAGTGAATCATGCAGAAGGTACTTTCGGCAGATGCAAAAATCCCCCTCGAGTCTAAAGAGCTGATCCAACAATGTGTCAATGCGTTCATCGGGATGATCACTCAGGAGGCCAATGACCGGTGCAAGAGGGAGCACCGAAAAACTATCCAATTTGAAATCCTACTTTACGCGATGAACAAGCTAGGGTTCCATGATTACGTGGAACCCTTGATGGATTATCTCCAGCGTTACAAGGAATTTAATAATCACGGGGGATCACTGCCATCTTTTTCTTCTTCCTCTTCATCAGCGGTTGCTGTTGAGAATTCGGCAGCAAGTGGTTTTGCCCCCAGCTGGATAATGGGGCCCATTGGCAGTGGACCTTTTGGAGAGATGAAAGAAATCTCTGGTTTTCAGCAGGTAGGGCCCTATTACCCACCGTCTGCTCCTGGATTATTTGGCGGTGCTGGAGCTCCGAGTTTTCCAAAAGGAGTTACAGAAGTCTCCTTCTTTAATTATGATCCGTATAATGGTGGGGCAGGTCAGTATCCCACCAGTGAGCCGGGTCAAGGAAGTAGTGGAGATAATGTGGATCCTGACTTTGGGGGTTTCAGTGACTGTGTTGTTATTAGCTGCTATTCTATTTTGGATATTTCTTTGTGATATCGTTTTTTTTTTAGTTTTCTTCTTTTTATGTTTTGAACCAATTGTGTAATGTGTTTCATTTCCCTTCAGCAATAATAAACATCATTTGGATGGAATTATTTATCGTGTCAGATTAACCTTCAAAGAATCAAGTTACTTAATCAATATGAATTGCTTACATTATTCTTTGCAATCAATAAAGTCTAAATAAATTTGAAACTTTCTCTTTTACTTTGTAATTGCAAGAAATCTAGCCAATGATGACAAATTTTTATGTAGAAAATAAGAGGGTTTTTGGCTTTTTCCAAGTTTTAATACGGTACACAACGATATTTAATTTTACAATTTCTTAGTGTTATAATCGGTTACGTATCATACTTTATTTAGTCCTTATTTAATCTGGGTAGACGGATAACACATTAAACTGATAATCAAAAGTGACACAATAATGTCCATCTAGTTTGTTTAATTGGACAAACACACTTGAAAACACACAATTGATTGTCGTAGTCAAAATGCTTTCATCTAAAGAAACAATATTAATAATTATTCACCAAGTCCTCATGATCATTTAAAGCACATAATCCAATTTCAAATCAAGTCTTCATGAGAACATATACTACTCAGAGTAAAATATAGAAATCGTGTGTGAAAGTGTCATGTGTCACGCCCACGTTAATTTTGTTTTTTTTTTTGGGAACAAATGTTATTACCATTCCCAAATAACGTTGCTTGGCATGTTAATAATGTTAGAGGAAGAAGTCTAGTCCACATTATTGTTGCATGTACATATATGTAACTTAGTGATTATATATGTGTATAAATATACGATAAAATTTGTAATTACTGATTTTAAAAGTATCATTAATTAACTACTTTCAAGATCTAATCACATAAATGGTCGAATCACTCTTTTACTTCTTCAAACTTAATATGGATCATTAATCTCATGACAACTCTAACTTTCCCATAGTGGGCCGGATTCATATTATAGGTGATAGGGCTATATTTACTTGTGTTGATTTTCCCCCCAGTATGTTGAGCTCCATATATGCTTAGTTATCAGTTTAGTGAAAGTGTTGAGCTCTGAGGCTGTTTGGACACTTTTTGAATTTATTAGTTGAAGATAATTAGTTTTGAGAAGACCTGTATCTTATAATCTTTCAACTAAAATAAATTAAAAAAATTATTATTTAGGATTAGGGCAAAGTTATTTAGCTTTTATATCTTGAGCTAGGTTCCATCATTGTCGGTGATTGCGATTTAAAAGATGGTAGATTATGTTGACAACGTTGGATATTAAGCCCTATTGGCGGCAGTTTTTATGGAAGACTACATTTTTGGGACATCATAGCTAGTTTTAGATTATATTTAATCATCAGAAAGATCCTTTTCCATGACTTTTTTTTTTGCACTGTTACAAATATAACAGTTTATTTTTTTCTAGTGACTTTAATCAACTCAACTATCAATATTTCACTTAACTCTACTGTATTTGACGAAGCCTCGATTTGTACGGTGCTTAGGACGGGCGGCGATGATGACCTAGGCAGTGGCAGACGGCCTAAAACCTGCAAGACAGAGCCTCGGGTGTCTTCCGAGGGTAGACTCTCCGATGCTTAAGTCAATGAAGGAATAAAGAGAATAGAGAGAGAGGAATGTGTATCGTGTGTAGAAGGTGTAGAAGATGTGTCGAAGATATGTATTATGAGGAAGGCACCACCTCTTTATATAGAGGTGGTGTTACCTATTTCCTTAAACCTAGTCGTAATAGTTTAGGTGGTGACTTAGCCTCCAAGGTAACCGGCCCAAACCCATTAGGGTTAGGGTTTATTTATGACTCATCAAGTGCCCCTAGCAAGCCACATTCTCGAGACTTGATGAGAAGAATATCGGTTGCTATAAGTATGAGGTTGGATTGTTAACGGCTTCTCGACTTCTGTAATGTTGCCCCAATTCTCGAACATGATGTTCCTGCAAGATGAATCAAAAGGGTGATGGTCGACAGAAGAAGGTCCTCGAGGGGACAAGGGTCGACGATGATGGGGTCCTTGGAAAGACAAAGGTCGACAAGGGGTGGTCCTTGGAAGGACAATGGTCAATAATGGAAGGTCTTTCCGAAGGACGATCTTCGGGAAGACAATGGTCTATGAAAAGACGGTCTCTATAAGAGGTAATGGTTCGTGAGAGGACGGTCCTCGGATGGATGAGTAGTCATTGGAAAAGGGTTCTCGAGAAGACAATTATCGACAGAGGGAGGTCCTTGGAAGGACAATGGTCGATAGGTGGTGGTCTTCTCGAAGAACATGGTGTATAAGGACTTCTAGAAGATTGAGCTCGATCGGCAAGAGCTTGTGGATCCTGCCATTAAACTCGACAAGGATATTACAATAATAATAAAGGAGTTTAAGTCATCCTCAAAGAAGAGTTGTTAATGTCTTCACAATATTGAAAAAGCATAAATATTGAAATTGAAATACTAAATGTAGGAAGTCATCCGAGAAAGGGATCCTTCTCAGGGATTATTCTAAACCTTACTCGACGTCGGCTCTGGATCAAGGTATCTTGATTATTGGGTGGACGTGTTTAGGATCATGCTCTTCGTTCTCACGTAATCCACACTGTGTGTATGCTGCGAACTTTCCTTCTTGAAGAGCCTTTTCCACATAACTCTGTAGGGTTTTGTAGTCATCAGTGTCGTGTCCATAACTCTTGTGAAACCCACACCATGGGTGCTTCTGGCTCTTGTTTGAATCCAAAATAGTTCTCGAGCGGTCTTCTCAAAGTTCTAGTACCTCTGTCCGAGGACGAGTTAAGGGCTTGTATTGATCATCTATCTTACCCTTGCCCCTATCTTGGTGCCAATCGCGTTCACGTCCTCGGTGACGCTCTGCCCCAAGTCCTTAACTTTGTCCTCAAGGCGTTTCTTCTCATAGATATGTAGGCTGTCTCTGGCTCGACGGAGATCCTCTTCCGCTCGAACTTCAGTTTCAATGATTGAAAACGGCTGTTGCAGCGTATGTGGCGGCTCCTTTGTCAGCTTTTGTCTCAAAGCAGCAGGTGCTCTATACAGATAAAGACCATAGATGAAGGTGGTAACAATAGTCTCCTCAGATATTCCTTCCACCTGAAGTTGTTCCTTGGTGAAGTGGCCATAATAATCTCCAATAGATTCTTCTCGTTCTTGCCTGAGTGACATCAGTTTTAGTCGTAATAGGTTTATGTGGTGACTTAGCCTCCAAGGTAGCCGACCCAGACCCATTAGGGTTAGGGTTTATTTCTTTCTAGCATATAAGCCATGATATTATTTTTTGCATTCGAGAGAGGCGTAAAATCTCTATGACTTGATTCAAGTGCATTGTTACGATTTAGTTAATGTTTGTAACATTGAAAATATGAACGCAATTTCATCTTTATCATTGAAATATTACTCCTCTACTAGCCGTGGTGACGTACATAGTAATAAATTTAATAGGCGACAAACAATATTTTCTGTCAGTTAATATAGTTTGTTTTTTGCTATATTATAATTCTGTTATTTAGAAGATCGGCAGTGTTAAATGGGTTATGAATAGGTTCAGCATTTTGTCAAGAAATTTCCTTGTCTGTACTTTTGTTTTGTGAAAATTTTTTCCCCTCCAGTTTTAAAGTTCAAATCTAGTACAACAAAGTAAGTCAAAAGTCAGTTTATTGAGAAACCAGATTACGTTAATCTCACTGTCCCACTCTCGAAACTAATATCCAAAAATTGGGAGTGCTTTTTCCAATTTGTACATTTGGTAAAATTTTTGTTGTACCTAACTGAATCATTTTATAAAATTAGTTAACCTAAATTTGTGTCCTCCATAATTTTATTTCTGCAATGAATATAATTACAAGAAGTTTGAAATTGTAACATATATATATGAAGGACTCAAATACACAAAATATTCTCTAAGCCTCTAACTCATTTATTTAGAAAAATAGTTTAAATGTACTTTAGAAAAATTAAGGTAAGTGAATTGGGTCAAAAAATCCGATTAAAACTGGACTTAATTTTTAGGACTGCGAGTGTTTTATTTCAGTTCAATAAATGTCATATTTTTTTTTCCCAGACAGATGATATATATTAAAGATGGGTACAAAATTACAAAGTAATTACAATATTAACAAACGAACTTTTTTCTTTTTTTTTTTTCCCTTGATTCATAGTGGCGCTTGTGAAGGATAATGAGAAGTCTTCCTTTAGAAAGCTGTCAAAAACTTAATCGATGCGTCGGAATGTCTGATTCCGAACCAATTCCTTTTTTTTTCCCCCTTCTGAGATTTTTATTTTAAAAAATTAATTTATGTTTGGACTGTTCACGTGCAGATTACGTGAGCTCAATTTGATTTTTCTTTTCTTTTCTTCTTCTTGTTCCCTTTTCTTTTTCCATGCAAAACCTTTATAATTATCTTTGACAAAATTCTAAATTATTGACGGTGGATATGGAGGAATGCTGCCACCATATTTAGGGCTACTCGCAGGTGTGGCCATTTCACTCGCCGCCGGCTGGATTCTTTTGGAGCTGCTCCTTTGAGCGGGTTTTTAGGAAGGGACTTATGATCAGCTTCCCATGTTCAATCACAACAATAACCCGTCTATTGTGGGTGGGTATCCGTTCGACGAGCCGAGTCAGGGATCTGGTGAAGCTAGGGACAATGTTGATTAAGAATTTTGGTTCCGTGGTTAGTTGTTGTTTGCTGCTTCACTTGAATATGAATTACTCCATTCTTGCAATGGAAACCTCTAAATTTTGAACTTAATTCCCTTTAATTTTGCGCTCTCTCCATTGAGCCAAGTGGAAATTAATTAAGTTTTTAAAAGAGATATGAAGTTTAGGGCTTTTCAAAGTTTCAACATGTCTACACATTAAGGGTTACAACATTTTTGTTGGTCCTCCAGCTGCCAGTTTCATATACTTCACATTTTGGAGGGATGCAGCCAAGCCCGGGTTTTCCACAGGTGGGCCCTATTACCCACCGCCTGCACCTGGATCATTTGGCGGTGCTGGAGCTCCAGGTTTTCCAGAAGGGGTTGCAGAGTTTCGGTTGTTCAATTATGATCCATATAATGTTGGGGCGGGTCAATATCCTGTCGGTGAGCCAGGTCAGCGTAGAGAGAATGTGGAGAAGCCTGATTTAGGGGGTTTCAGTGGGTAGATTTGTGTTGTTAGCTGCTAATTTTATGCTTTCGGATGTTTCATTATGATTTTTTTTTTTGTAATGTGTTTCTTTATTTCCTTTTTTGTTTTGGGAACAAATTGTGTAATGTGTTTCATTTTCTTTCAGCAAAAATAAACATCATTTGGAGGAATTTATTTTTCGTGCCAGATTAACCTTCCAATAATCAAGAGTCACTTGATCAATAATAATTGTTTACACCGTTCTTTGCAATAAAAAAACATCTAAATAAATTTGGAGCTTTCTTTTTACTCTTTATTTTAAGAAATCTAATGATAATAAAGTTTTAGTTAGAAGATAAGAGTGGTTTTGGCTTTTCCAAGTTTCATACATGTACACATGAAGGTTTAATTTTACAATTTCTTAGTGTTCCAATCGGTTACGTGTCATACTTTATTTAATCTTTATATTCAATTTGGTAGAATCGCACAAAGATAACAACAAATTAAATTGACTTGTCTGTTCGTGAGGAAACTGGGTAAAGTCGAATCTATTTCACTTGATGCAAGAATATTGTTGGTAATTAAAAAAGTTTCAAGGTTTATAGGTTCGATGATACACATAGGTGTTTAGAGGGAACTTGCTGAATTTCTTGCTAACCTAGCCATATCTTTGTCTTGGGTTGTTTTTGGATTAAATAAACCTTAATCCTTACAACTTCTTTTTCTTTCTCCTTATTAATCAATTATAATAAATCCAGTAACTGCATTTTCGATCCAAGCTAATTTCATCACAAAATGCAGTACTATAAAGAATGTCCTGAATCAACTCTTGCCGGCGATGAATGTGACCAAAAGCATGCTGGAATTCCTACCGGATTAGGCCAGAATCTCCGAAGATATGCCAAAGCAGCGGTACAGAAATGCAGTTCGGAGTTTGACCACTGTGTTGCTCCCTTATCGCTTTTTCTTTGTCGTTACTGGAACAATGATGCCGGACCCAGATGCGATTTTGTTAGTGAAGGATAATGAGGGGTCTTCCTTTAGAAAAAACTTAATCGCGTGGGAATGTCTGATTTCAAACCAATTTCTTTTTCTTTTTTTCTAAAATTTTTATTCCAAAAATTTGATTTCCCTTGGACTGTTCACGTGCAGATCACGTGAGCTCTCTTTGATTTTTCTCTTCTTTTCATTTTTTCTTTTCGTGCAAAACCCTATAATTATCTTTGACAATTTGTTTGATACAAAAATATTTAAACTTTCATCAAAGCATGATACCTATTATAATCTGAGGGCCACCGCCACTCCCATGTTTTTTTTTTTGAAAATTGTACCTGCTTATATTAGTTGAAGGAGTTTAAACTTTTACATTTAGCATGATAGTATGGCCATGTTATGCTATATCGAGGTCATCCATCTTTGCTATTTCCTCTGTTTGGATCAAATTGCCCCGATTTCGGTTCCATTCTTTCGTAAAAAGAGTGAGACGCAGGTTATAATCTTGTTTGATTGTATTCCAGATCCTTGTACAGTCACCCTGTTGATCTCCCTGTTGTGGACGCCAAACTCGGTTATTTCGCTCCTTCCAAATTTCCCATAGAACAAAGATTGATAACTCAATTGCCATTGCATCAGGAGCTATTTTGATCCACTCCAGGAACCAATCTTTGAAGGGGATGGCTTGACCTGTGTCGAAATTAAAACCTAAGCTCGTAATTCTCCAAAGCCTCCTTGAGGATGGGCATTCCAGGAATAGGTGTGAAACATCTTCTGATTGCAATTGACATCTCGGACATAAATCCTCTGCTATTACTCCTCTTTTAAGCAAGCCTTGTTTTGTTGGAAGTGCATTATGAATTCCTCGCCAAACAAAGAGTTTCATTTTTGGAGGTATCTTGATTTTCCACAAAATTTTCCACGCAGCCTTCTCTTGATGTATGGCACTTAAATCCAGAGGGTATGTTTTATTGTAAGCTACCTTGTAGCCTGATTTAACAGTGTACATGCCATGCTCCATTTCTGTCCAAAGTAGTTTGTCATCCTCCTCTCTCCGCATTGGATCAATGTGGATTTCCTGGATAAAAGGCAATATCATGGGAGGGAAGATCTTTCTAAGCAGAGATGTCTTCCAGGAACCATTTGCATTAAGCAAGTTGGCAACTCTTAAATCAGTGTTTGTTGCCAGGATGGAATCACTAGCAATTGGATTGTCCCTTGATGGGATCTAGTTATCACTGATCTTAATGCTGTTTCCCGAAATTACTTTCCATTTGAACTTTCCCTTTAATAACTCATAGCCCCATAGGATGCTTCGGAATCCCCATGACATGTTAGTATCCCATGTTCAATCATATTAACCCGCATATTGGGGGTGGGTATCCCCGCAAGCCGGGTTAGGGATCTGGTGAATTTAGGGACAATGTGAATTGAGAATTTTGGTTCCACTGGTATTTGTTGTTTGCTACTTCTAAAAATCAGTTCACTTGAATTTAAATTACTCCATTCTTGCCATGGAAACCTCTAAATTTTGAACTTAATTCCCTTTTATTTTGCATTCTCCCGTGAGCCAAGAGGTAATAAGTTCTTAGGAGGGATATGAGGTTTATGGCTTTTCTAACTTTCAAAATGTGTGCACACATTAAGGTTTGCAACATTTTTGTTGGTCGTCCAGCCAGTACACATGTACTTCACTTTACCTATTTTTTTATTTGATTTGGGCATATCCTTGTCGGTGATAACAATTAATTTATTCATATACATATATGGTCCAAAGTCGAAAATGGTTCTCACTCAGTGCTCCAATAAGTTGGAGTTTTAGTTCTGATGAGATTTAGGCCCTTTTTGAGGGAGTTTTGGATTCATAGATCACTGATTTTGTGGTTCCTTCGTATTTAATCATTACAATTCTTATTGATGATTGATTGTGCGGGCAACTTTCGTGCACTCCAGCTAATTCAGTCATCATATTTATTATACCTTTTTATTTTCAAGACATTATGTTTTTTTTTTTAGATGTTTACTGTTGAGATCAATGAAAGGGGTATAATTTAGTGTAGTTTATATTAGTTAGGGCATTAAGCCAATGGCAATTTCAGGTTGCACGAACATGGCCCGTTAATTTTTTAGTCAACATCAACTCACATTAGAATTTTACTGAACAATTTAAAGCTGGTGGAGATTTTGATCATGTTGTTTTGGATGTCCCTATGGACTTTGATCATGTTGTTATTTTATCAATTATTGGTATGCATCCCTAGCTTATCTGGAGCATTCAATATTGAAAAACGGCCTACTGATGAGATTCTCAAAATTCTTTTTGGAGCAACAGGGTAACTTTGAGTCAGGTTATTCGACTCAATTACGATATTCTAAAGATCCGATGTAAAGAAAAAGAAGTAAATTCAAACACACAAAACCCTTCATTTTTATTGCAACTAAATATATATATATATACAAAACATCACAATTTAACATCCAACAAACAAAAGCAACTAATTACAACAACTACCCACACAGAACCCTGCCCATTGTCCATCCCTTCCCCAGATCCCTGCCCCGGCTCTCCGGAGGGATACCCGCCCGCGATAGATGGGTTATCATTGAACATTGGAAGCTGATCATAAGTCCCTGCAGCCGGAAAACCCTCTGAGGGAGCAGCTCCAAAGAATCCAGGGGCCGGCGGGTAACAATGTCGCCCCATCTGATCAGGAGGTGGAGCAGCAAAGGCACCGAAAGCTGGAGGCGCAACATTGGGGCCCAATGGCCAGCTGGCAGCCGAGGAGGCCGAGGGTTGAACCGCCAGATTTCGAGCAACTGATGATGATCCCCCGCGAGAATTCTCCCGGTGATGCTGGAGATGAAGCTCCAAGGGTTCTATGTAATCGTCAAACCCTAGCGTGTTCATAGCCGAAATAACGTCCTCCGGAGAGATAATCTTCCGGTGCTCATTCTTGCACTTATCATTGGCCTCGCTAGTGATGAAGGTTATAAACTCCGTCACGCAGAGCTGGACGTATTCTTTAGCCTCATTGGAGATTTTCGCTCCGGGAGGCAGGACTTTCTTCATTATCTTCATCACGCTTGTCGAAGACATAAGTGTTCCTTCGGATTCCGAAGGTGCCGGCTGTGCATTTTTGCCGCGGTTGCTATTGTTGTTGTTCTTCTTGTCGTCGTTGCCATTGGTGTTGTTGATCATAGGATTGAGAGCTTCCATTTTGTTTTTTTTTTATCTCGGGAAAATAAATGGTTGCGGGAATCAAGGGGAGGTTTTTGGCTGATGAAAAGAACAAACTCCAAAATGAAAGAAAGTAAAGCGAGAAAGCTACCTATATGAATAGAGGATTTGGAAAATGTATTTTTGTGAATTGGATTTGTTCAATACTGTGTCGGCAGCATAAGCTACCGTGTTCGTCTATTAAGGGGCGATTTTTTTTTTTTCGGTTCAAATCGTCAACTTTGCATGAAATGAAGTTGACACGTTTTTCTATACAAGAATTCATATTTGTTTCTTTTTTTTTTTTGCCTGAAAATTATTTGGCCATGTTCATGTGCAATACTGTCAACATGTTGTTACCTACAGCTAAATTTAATTTCAAGTCGAATTCTTTGTGGTTATTATTTAGTGGGAAAAAGAAAGAAGAAAAATTTGACTCACAATGAAGTTATACACAATTAATCAGAACACAAAACTTACAATGCATTGTGTAAGAAGGATATTGCAACAAATTGATAAGGATAGAAATTAATCGATTGTACCTATGTTTGTGTTAATCATATGTTGAACTACTTCTTGATCATTATATGTTGTTTTTTACGTGATGATGATATATTCTCATGATTTTCAAAAAAAATTTGGCGGGATGAATGATGCATCCCGTGAGGGGAAAAGCAAAGAAATTAACAGGGGGGAAGTCTTGAGGGATTAATTAAATCAATTTGCGCCACCAACATTATGCTACGTACGTTAATTTTTTCGATTTTTGGTTCAATGGGTATTATCAATTTGTAATTAAAGGGTATAGTTTTAATTAAATGGTGAAGATGAAATCTTGGAGTACTACTTGGTGAGCTTCGCAGGGACTAGAGATTTGATGGATTGAGAATGGGTCATAGAGCTAGCTAAAACATAAACGGCGAAGTTAATTTTGTAGCGAGATTTTTTTCTATTGTAATAATGTTGTTAGATTCAAATTGTTTAGTGAAATTTTATGATCTAGTGGTGTTAATATGAAGTGTTAGACTTAGTCTTTTTCATTATATCGAAAAAGATATAGTTTCCTTTACAAAATCAAAATATTATTACTAAAAATATTATGTATATGAATAATGTAACTACAAAATACATATGCCAAGGATTATGTATCCGTTATCTTTCTAGTTTGCAGATATTACCTATGACTTGATCAAGCAATAAACTCATTATTTTGGTGCAAAGAAATCTAAACTCGGAAAAGCAAGCTACAAACCTGAGTTATTTCAGTGGCATTAAGCTCCAACTATGTTCTAACTCGCTAAGGAGGAATTAGTAGGTGAACTTGCGCTAAAACATATCGAGGAATTCTCTTAATTTATAAAATAAACAAACCAAAAAAAATTTCTTAAGCATACTTTCCCACAAAGGACACACAATTATCATTCTATATTTAGTAATTAATCACGTGAAGTTTCACAATTGGCTAACCCTAAACTATTAATTGACACATATGATGATGATAAAGTCACTCCTTTTTACCTAGAAATGTAACCTGCCATGCAAAGATTTGAACACATCCTAGGTCTTTCACTAAGACACTAACAGTTGTAGTTGCTTCATGATATGGCATAAGAGTAGCATATAAGAGTTGTTTTGAATTCTTTTAGCCATTATTGGTCAGACAACTCATTTTCGGAATTCATTTTTCTGAGTTTAGACTTCTTTGTACCAGAATAGTAAGTTTTTTAGTTAAGCCACAAGTGGTATCTACATATTGGAAACTGGAAATATAAACAAATGTATAATACTATATAAGATATATATTCCTAGTTACATTACTTACATACATACAATTTATCAACTATATATATATATATATATACCCTTTATTTTTGGGAAAATAAACTATACCATTTTTTCCATAGAAGAAAACAGGCCGGCTATAACTACTCTCGCTAGGACATCATACAAACGCCGGTCCAATTCCTCCGGTAGAAGAACCAAAAAGCCTCAAAAAACGATTTGATTAATCTAGCTGCAATATATATCACGTCAAAAAATCTAATGTAAAATTGAATTCCTTAAATAAATGTTTTACAATTACCTCTATCTATACCCAGGAAATCATGAGTAATATCCTTGCCAAAGCCCACCATGTACTCCAAGATCATTATAATCTGCACTTTTTAAAACTATATGCCTCCTCTAATTACAAACTGATGTGTGCCAATAGTGAATGGAAAAATGAAGAAAACATACAATATCAATGTTGGTGTGTCAAGCTAATTTTGTTAGTGATAGCTAGAATTCAGAATCTACGGCTTGCTTCCCCTTCTAATAAAACTTGAATGTTTGACTTCCTCCCAACCTTGTCCGATTAAGTAAACCTGAAACCATCAATCTAACTTCAATCACTCTATGGAACCATAATTTTTATGACAAACTTGTGAATAAGCTATAGACAGTACGTAAGATCTAAAAGAAATTCATAATTTTAGCACAATATAGAAGCAAAGCGAAGTAATGTAACAATTGATTCGTACATGAAATAGAACTCAAAGTCTTTTAAAAAAGCTATCATAATTCATCTTGATCAAGGCCACAAATCTAGAATCTACATCATAAAGCATGAGTACAAAATCATAAGAAAATATCATTATCTTCATCGAAATCAAAAGCAAAAAATTATAATTTCTTCCCGCTGCAATGGACTAGAGAAAAAATTAAAAGTAATTCTGAATCATATATGCAAACATGACAATCACGCTAGGAAAGAAAACCCTTTTATCTAAAAATTGGTAAAAAATGCCCTATTGGATCTAAGGCACGACTAAAATTTATGGGAACAGAAAAAGACGAAGACAACCATTGATGAACTATAAATTTGGTATGAGAAAAAGCTAAAAATTTGACATCCATGTGAAAGATGGGAAGGAGAAGGAGAAGGAGAAAAGAGAGTTAATGGGATTATTATGGGAGAATGGGAAACATGGAATTAACGGAAATGGGGAGTTGCATTTGATTTAAACTTCTCTTGTAAATAATAATATAAAAAGCTAAGAAAAAAACTCCATTAGTTTACACGGAGGGGGATAAACGTTTTAATTAATGCCTCAATAACTGTGTCACAAAAAAAACCTAATCTTTTAAAAACTAAATGCCTTATTAGGCTTGCTATTAAGGCAAATTGCTACTAGTGTCTTAATAACTCATATTTAACAAGACATTTACTTTAAAATGCATCAATGTGCGTATCACCAAAGAGACTTTTTCTTGTAATGTTACTAGTACCATCCTAGATAATCTATGCACATTTCCTACACTAAATATTTTAAGGCTTTTCTCTTTTGTTTATTTTTGCCGCAGGGAGTAATATCATCAGTATACCGCCCACGGAAAACCACATTGACAAAATCTAATAGAAAAACGTAGTACAAAAACTCATTTTTCATCCGCTATTTATACTACAAATAGTCAGCTTTCTTTCTTCAAATCCTTCACTCCATTGTATGTTCTTTAGTAGTTACATATATAGTAGGATATCGATAAATTAATAGTGTTGGGAATAATTTCTATGAGAAAAAAAAGAACCGTCACTAAATTACTTAATTAGTAATTATTTTCACATTTGAATCAGTCGAGTATTAAAACTCCTCTAAAATATTAAAAAACATACATAGTTCATATCATCTCTGGGGACTAAGATTCAAATATCAATAGTTCATACTTTATTACATATTTATTGTTATTATTATTATTTGTTTACTTTTACGATATTTATTAATTTATGATACTGCTGGGACCTGTCGATATATAGGATATTTTCTTAAACATTATTATCTTATCATTTAGTCATTTTTTTTTACTTTTTGTACTGGTCTCAAGTTGGGATCCAAAAAAAATTATTATTTTTTTAGAAATTATTAATTTATAAATTATTAATTTACCGACGTTCTACTGTATGTTATACAGAAAGAAACACCTTCACTCAAAAAAGTCTTTTCACATTTTCAAAAGGTCTAAAGCAATCGCAGCTCCCTTTAGAGGTATGATCATCAATGAAAACAACAACATCAACATCGAGAACAATGGCAATCCCTGGGAAAATGAACCGTTGCTGCCACCGTTTTCAAAAGCCAATGGCACCCTGACGCTGCTCGCCAACTTGTAGCGAATCATGTGGAAGATACTTCGGCGGACGCGAAGATCCTCCTGGACTCTAAAGAGCTGATCCAGCAATGTGTCAATGTGTTCATCGGGTTGATCACCGGGGAACCAAATGAGCGGTGCAAGAGGGAGCACCGGAAAACCATCCTCTAGGAAGACTTACTTTAAGCAATGAACAAACTATGGTTCCATGATTCCGTGGAACCTTTGATGGCTTATCTTCGGCGTTACCGGGTGTTTAATCACGGGGGATCACTGCAGTTTTCTTCTTCCTCTTCCTCTTCATCAGCGGCTGCTGTTGAGAATCTGACGGCGAGTAGTTTTGCCCCAGCTGGACAATGGGGCCCATTAACGGTGGATCTTTTAGCGGGATGCAGCCAAGCAGGGGTTTTTTGCAGGTGGAGACCTATTACCCACTGCATGGACCTGGATCATTTGGCGGTGCTGGAGTTCTGGGTTTACTGGAAAGGGTTGCAGAGTTCCTTTTGTTCAATTATGATCCATCTAATATTGGGGTGGGTCAGTATCCCTCCGGCGAACCGGGTCAGGGACTAGCTACGGACAATGTGGAGCCTGATTTTGGGGATTTTAGTGGGTAGATTTGTGTTAATAGCTACTAATTCTTCTTTTGGATGCTTCATTCGGATATTTTTATTATGTGTCTTTTTCTTTCTTCTTTTTTTTTTTAGGAAATTGTGTAATGTGTTTCTTTTTCCTTAAGCAGAAATATACAT